GCTTATTCTTACCTTTCCTTCCTGTTTGCTGTCCCTTTATACCCACCCCAAAGTACACACTTTTACAGTTATGCAAACTTGAAGGCAAATGTCTGAAGACTCTAATGGCCCAAACTGTGAAGAAAGGAGGAGGAGGAGAGCTGAGAGGAGAGCCCACAATGCTTGTCCTGGGCTTTAGGAAAAAAAAATGACATCTACACTATGACTGCAGAGACACTCTCTGAAGCTGGTGTGATTACATTCCATTTTCTCAACTTAAAGATTACCTTGTTAGATGTAAATAAACAATATCAGAATTTAATTATATTTTCATTTTACAGGTCTTTGAATTAAGTGTGGGGGACAGTTTGTGTTTGATTAGAGACCACAGCATGTGAAATAAAAAGAACTAAGGTTTGAGTCCTGATTCTATCCAAACTCTACTAGCTTCCTGCCTTTGAGTAAGTCATCGTTTATCAATTCCTTTGTTTCTGAAACAGAGATACAGTATATGTTTTACCTAGTCCACAGAGGCTCAACTGAGGTAAATATTTCAAAGCACTCTACCAATTAAATATTAATATAAAACGATAGATATTATCCTGATAAGTTTTAGTGTTGTCATATGTGTTGTCTATTAAATGAATACTTACTTCCAAAATATTGATTCAAAAATACCTGAATCTCTTTTCAGTATAGTAAAAGCCCTTTGAATTTCCCTCTTTACCATGGAAATTACTCAAGGACATATTTCAGCCATAAACAGTTTTTAATTGCAAAATTCTTTAGTAATTTTGAAAAGAGAACCATTGTTGACATTTCTGAGGACGATTCCTTACAAAATATTTTTATCTCCTGCCTTAGTTCTGAACAAGTAGAGGGAAAAAAGAGCAAAATTTTACTCCTGATACATGTATAATTGGAGAATGTAGCCTGATATGAGAAGCAAATGGGCCATGACGACTGAACCCTAGGTAGAACTGGCCAACTTGGTAAGCACCTCTCACTCTTAAGTCGTGCTTCCGACTTAGGAAGAGCAGTGGACTCCGTCTCCCCATGGGAAGCCCAATATATTCTTTTCTTTAGTTAGCAACAGGACTTATATGAGCTGCTTGGGGAAAATCCTTCCTTCTGGTGGAAAGACATTTCCCTGTAACACCTTCCATCGAGGACTTAGGTTCATTTTAGTGAATAAATATGAATATATATAATACAAAAATTAACTACGTCAGTGGTGCTTGTGCACCACTGAAAATTGCTCTCTTTCAATCTTTTGGAATCCAAATATTTAAAATTTGTTATACGAGGACAAAGAGAAACATCGATCATGCAGCATATCGTAGATAAAACAAAGAATGATAAGTGACAACCGCGTATGTGATCACTGCAATTTTATTTCTGATATTTGTAGATACAGAAAACTATACAAAATTATACCTTTTAAAATTACCCACTTTTATCTTTAGGATAAGTATTTAATAATCAAGTTCTTGAACAGATCGAAAACTGATAAGCCAAATGAAGACCTTTGAACCCCAAATCCATATTTTTCTATAGTATTACCCTTATCACATATGTTTAAGTTAGTTGCTTTTCCAGAATTTTCATTTCAAAATACGTATTTATCGAGAGCGATACTTACGGATGGTCTCCTTCCGCGTGGCCTGTTCCCGCTCTTCTTTGACTGCCACCGCTGCTCCTCCAGAGTCACTGCTTGCCGATTTTGCCAGATCCCTTAAGCCCTTGGCCAACTGCCACTTCTTCCACAGCATGCTCACTGATCGTGTTGACTCTTTGGTCTCTAAGCTCCCAGAACTCTTTATTTCTGGCTCTTTTGTGAAACTTGCAAATGTTTCTATTAAAACATGGCATGTGCATTACTGAAAAAGCTTGCATTCTATGAAATCACTTGCAAAAAGTAATAGGGCTATGAGGGCACAGATTTGGAGGAGAAAACTCAAACTCTTTGCAACTTCTAACCAGGCAACTAGCAAAAACAATCATTGGTGCCTCCGAAGATAACATGGTGTGCCCAGGCAGCCAGTGTGTCTATAAGCTGCCTCGGGATATGAAAAGGTCACATAAAAATGGAGGCTTTATGGAGGTGAGACATTACAAATGGAAATGGGATTTCTGAATCATTGGAGCTGCTGTTAGTGTGGGCCCTGGTAGAAGTGCATCTTGCCTCACGTGAGAATTGCACGTGGGTAGGACTTTCCTCTCTGGAGAGGGAGCCTTGTATGTAGGCACTTGTCTAAAATTGTCTTAAAATAGAATTGAAAAGAAATCTTGCTTGTGAATTTGCAAAGCTGGAAAGTTTTTTCTTAATGTTATAATTCTCCTCCCACTGTTCAGATCCCTGTGCCTAGGAAAACTGTAAAACAGACTATAACTTCCATAATATGCAGACACCTTCCTTCCACTTATCAACTCCAGATATTTTAACAGGTGCTACATTCCACTTGGAGTCAAAGTCGGTAATAGGTTAGTGCTTAAGTGCATGGAGAAACATTGAAATAAAAGGCAGATATTCAGTAGTCAAAGTCGGTTCTTTAAAAATATATTAAATTGATGCACCACTAGTGCAAGACTGATTGAGAAAAGAAAAGGTTCCAATAAATTTTTTTCCAGGAAGTTTAACTTAGATAAAATAGACAAATTTCTCATAAGACACAACTTACTAATCTTGACACAAGAAGAAACAGAACAGATAAAGGGCAAGAAATACAGAGTACATAGACTGTAAGAGTTCAAATACATGAAGTTCAAGAACAGGCAGAATTAATTCATGGTGATAGAGGTCAGACTAGCAGCTACACTTAGGAAGAACATGGCTGGGTAGGAGAATGAGGAAGACTTTGGAGCTGTATTAAGTGTTTATACCTTGATCTGAATGGTGACTCCAGAGTGTATGTACACATACGTTAAAATTCATCAAGCTATAGAATTAAGATTGTGCCTTTATTGCACGTATATTTTATGACAAGGTCAGGCTCCTCTGAGCACTATTCTCCACTTGGTCTTGTCCTTGGCTTAGGAAGGATCCCAGTTTTAGCAAAGAATGCTGCTAATCCTGTTTGTTGAGAAACACCCCTCCACCCCTTGATACCTAATCAGGCTCCTCTTCCCTTACCCTTCTTATTTAATCAGGTTCCTTAACCCTTGATACCTAACCAAGTTCCTCTGAGTAATTTTCCCTCCACTTCCTGACTACTGGCTATAAATCCCCGTTTGTTCTTGTATTCAGAGTTAAATTCAATCTCTCTCCAATCGCAACATCTTGACTCCTATTGCCATGGTCTTAAAGTCTTCCTTGTCATTTTTAACACACATTCAGTGCAATAAATTTTCTTTTACATATAACTTAACACACATTTTTAAAAATAATAAAATGTAGAGCTTAAAGGACAAGAACTGTATTTTATTCATCTTTGTATTTGTAACATTATATTAACTCTATCGATTAGAGGAGTGGGTACTTAAGGAGTTAGAAATATTTTAAATCCCAATGTTTTCACTTTTTAGACGTGTGACTTAGGAAGAATAAGGTGACCTCCTGAGCCTTGATCTTTTTACCTGTAAAATGGGAATAGTAATGTCTACATGATAGTCGCTGTAGGTTAAAGTGGGATTATAAACAAAAGCACTTTGAACAGGGCCCATCCGAAGATTACAAGATTAGAGTGATATTCGTTGTTTATACTGTTTATATGAAAAGTTAAGGGACGTTATTTTTATAAAAATTATTGAATTATACTCCTGAAGATGAAAAGTAGAAAAGCATGTTTTGGGATGTGAATGTCTTCAGCCTCGCTGATGTGGTGATAGATGGAGAGCTCTGTCTTCATGCTGGCTCGGTTCCTGGCTATCTTGTGAATTTAGCAAATCACTGAGCACATCACTCTGAGCCTTTGTCCTTATTGGTAAGTTAAAAATAGTATTATATATTAATGAGTTGATGTGAGTGAGTATTAAATAATTAGTATTTTACAGTTCCAGGCCCAAGGCAATCACTCAATAAAAGTAGTTAGCTTTATTACTATGGTTCTTATTGTCATTCTTATTGTCATTGTAGTTAGAAAGCTGCCAGGTTTATAGTAGGAGGCCCGTCTTCAAGTTTGCATACTGTTACCTTCTAACTAGGCTGCACCCTTATTTCGTTTCATCTTTTCTTAAGTGGGGAAAATCATATATACTTCGGGAAAAAGTAAACATCTGTTTGCTAAAAAAAAAAAAATTCAGAATCTATTTTCTTATAGGATTGTATGTGACTTTTGACAATCCTGTAAGAAAACAGATTCTGAAATGTTTTCTTTTTATCAAATGTGACTTGCCTACGACCTTTTAAGAGGTGCAGGTAACAGCTCTGTGATGGGAGGCGGCTGGGGCAGTGCTCACTGACCTTCTTCCACGGCTTTCGTCTGGCTCTCTGACGAAGGCAGAGGCGCAGTCTCGGCTTCAGATGGTTTCTTAAAGAACCGGCTGAGGTATCGCAGACGAGCCTGAGAAGCCTAAAGGACAAACAGGCAACAACATCTTAATAGTACTCAAAAAAAAAAAAAACCCAAGAAAGTGTGAATAAGGCAGTTTGAACCAGGCCAGCTCTTATTAATTATCAAATAAACTCAAATTCTGAACCATCCATGATTTAGACCGTTACTTCTTGAGAACTAATGAAAAAGTCAGTCCTAAAATAAATACACTTAGATCCAGTGGCTTGTAAATCTTTTTCATCTGCCTCAATAACCCTGAGTTGGGACATGAAACACGTATAAATAATAGTGTTTCATAATGGCAATGATTCTTATATAAACTATAAGGGGGAGGGCCATATGAGGCATATATATACCACAAGGGGCAGCACAAGCTTTTTATCTAAGACTCTACAAAGTAGATGAAAGCACAGATAAAGCTACTTATGCCTTCTTACTTTGGAGTGTTCAGGCCAGAAAGTGGTAAGCTCAGGCTATGTGAAAGAATGAGGAAACCCACAGTTTGGGCTAATAAGTGGTATCATTATGTGCTTTGCTTTTGAAGTCATCTGGGTATCATATCTGGAGGATAACATTTCACAGTGGGTCCAAAGACTGCCTTAACATCTAGTTAGTTAATGTCTGAGAAATTCCTGATACCATTCCTGAAGGAAAGACTATGCAGTTTCACAAACATGGCTCTTTCTTCCAACCCTGACTAGGAATAAAAAGTAAAAGAACCACTTGTCAAACTCAAGTGACCTTGATTGCCCTTCCCGGCTCGGCCGTCTCCCAGGCTTGCTTCATGGCTCGGATTTCATCTGCTCGTTCTGTATCTTTTTTCACTTCAAATAAGTCTGCTTCACTGTGTTCAGTGACCAACCTCAAAATCCAGTAGGGCTTATTTGGATCTTCTTGTTGAGAGTGAACAGTAGACATCTGATAAAATAAAAACCTTTGGGTCAGATGCTTTCTTCTTTTCAAAAGGTCTAGATTTAACCTTATGATCCATAATTTACCTATTAAATATTTACCCAAGAGAAATGAAAATATACTCACAAAAAGACCTAGATAAGAACATTCATTAGAGTGTTATTCATAATAGCCAAAAAAAATAAAAAGAAAAAAAAGAAAAAAAGAAAAAAGAAAAAAGGAAAAAAAGAAAGAAAAGAAACGATATAAATGTCTATCAGTTGATGAATGGCTAAACAAATTGTAATATGTTCATATGATCTACTACTACTTAACATTAAAATAAACTAATAATGTACACCACAATGTGGCTGAATCTCACAGATAAACATTGTATTATGATAAAGAGGTCGAGCACAAAAGAGTACACTTTTTGTATGATTCATTTGTATGACTTTCCAGAACAGGCAAAACTTGCCTGGGGGTAAAGTATGAGGATGACAGAATCTGCTGCAAAGAAGTTTGAGGAAATTTTTAAGTTTATGAAAACTGTCTATAATCTATATTTTGATAAAGACATGGGTTACGTGATGAATGCACTTGTCAAAACTCATTGAATTATACATTTAAGATGTTGCGTTTCACTCTATGCAAAATTTCCCTAAAAACGGTAAACAAAAAAAAAAAATTCTAGATTACAGTTAGCCTCACTTATAGCATCTCTTCACAAAAATAAGGGCAAGAATAGTCGATCATTTCCAAGTCTGGATATTTTTTTTACTTGATATACCTTCATTATGAAAGTTAACAACATGCTGATGTCTCATAAGATCACTTTCATGGACCTTAGATCGGGAGCACATTGACATAGAACTTGAAATTGTGTTGTAAGTGAGGCTCATTGGTGTTTATCTGAGAGGGAGAGAGGTTTGAATCTGATGTGGTTTCTAAGCACTTTTGATAAGACTAAGATGTCAATTATCTTTAATGCAGGTGGGGAAGCAGGGATTGAGAGGGATATGCAGTAAAGTTTTCACGGGCAGTTTAGTTTTAAAGTTACAAAAAAAAAACAAAAAAACCAACAAAAAACCCCTCCTTTCTCTCTATAATATTCCCCTAATATTCTGATAACTTATATCTCACAATTGGAAATTCTTTTATTTCTTCCTTTTAAAACACAGTACATAAGCTTTTACCATCTTTCATATTGCTTGATAAATGAGTTTATCAAAAACTTCTGGGATCAAGTTTTGATCAGAGAAGAGGACACTGTGAAGTACTAAGGACCACATGTCATAAGAATTAGCAGATTCTTATTTGTTTTATATTGCAAGAGTTTATTTTTGTTAATGATAGAAATATTTTCTCAAGGAATTCAAATAATTGAGTTTATAACAGTGAATGAAAAACTGGAGCTACACCTAGAAAAGTTAACACACAGCAATATAAAGTTTTGAGGGGAAAGGTGGTTGTTTGGAACGTCACATACATTTTTTAACCAAACAATGTTGAAACAAGCAAATTTTGAATAGAAAATTATATCTGGTTCTTTCTTATTTCAAATGTAATTGTCTTTTGATAGAGAGAATTCCATTTTCCACATATCTTTTGATGATATTTCAGGAAAAAGCGGCATTTGGATGGTAGAATGTAGATAGTGAAAACATAATTCATGTAAATTTAAGAAGAAATTAGCTTTTCCATATGAAATAAAATCAATGATAATATAAATTTAACATGACTATGGTCACTAAAGCAAAAATACAAAATATAATATGATAATTTTCAGTTTACTGTTTGGCACATATATTCATAAATTTTTAAACATCAAATAATATAATACCAATATCTACTAAAACTAATTAGCATAATAGTAAGATTTCTAAAGCTTAGTTAATTATTAATGTTATAAAAATCTAACTTCCATATGAATTTTGGAACCAAGCATATATCTTATGCTGAGCAAAATGGTCCAAACGCTATCTTTTTCAGGATTCCCTGGAATTCATGAATATTTCAATATTAACTCATGTTAAACTCCATAATTCCTTATTAAATTTGGTGGATCTTCTAAACAGGCTTTGATTTTTAAGAATATATGCATACATTCATCACAATTTTGAGAAGAACGGAAGGCCATCATACATGTCAGTTTTTAATTTTTATTCTATCATTAATTTTTTACAGAATTGTTTTTTCTGGACTTAATATTTTTGCTTTTTGTCTTGTTTTGTTTTCCTTCATTACTTTACATATGCTTTGACCCTTCCAACCTCAGCTGATCCAGTTTTTCATTCTAACTTTCATCTAGTGGAACATTTTCAGGCTTTAGACTGAATCTAAAATAGGTGTTAGGAACTAATGGATTATCAAGTATTGTATGAACCTCTATGTCTGTAGAACTGTTGATAGTTTGGTTTTCAAGCTGTGTGTTTCACAGTGTTTCTCACGTCACTCTCATAACGAACCATGCCTAGGGATGTTCTGCGCTCTAATGGGACGTCAGGTCAAAGACACCGACCATCGTGCATTGCTAACGCTGAGGGGTTATTCAGAAGCGAACCTCCATCTTATGGGAGATCGTTTCCCAAATGCACACCCTGCAAAGTAGCCTGGAGCCACATTTTAGACAGACAGCCTCCCAAATCGTAACAGTTGGCTCCAGGAAAATGGCCATTGTTTCCGAACCCCAAAACTATCGTCATCATCCCTCTGTTTACCATGGTATTTATTGTGGCTATCTTAGGATGTGTGGGGTTTCTTGCTGTTTCAATCACTAGTATGTACCCCATTCCATCCTTAAGAATATTTTTCCCCATGTTTGACTGTCATAAAATGAATGGCTCTCACTCATTTTTACAGTTCCAATAATAACATTTTGTGAAAACAATTGAACCTAATTTTCTATAAAATTCCCCACATTCATGGAAGGGCATATGAAACAATCCCAGCATAAAAGTTCATATGGCACCTGTCCTTCCATCATGAATGCAATTAAAGAGCTGACGAACTGGCTTCTGAGAAAGCTCAGCTAATTTTCGTAGTGTCTGAAGAGTGACCACACCTCTTTTTCCTCCATCATCAATTGTTTGAATTAGGAATGCTCTTCCTTTCACTGGATTCACACAGCCAATCAAAGCCAACATTTCCCTAACTGCTGCCTGAATAATGCCATCCTTAATTTGTCTCAGTCGTAATAAATATGGAATAATTCTTTCTTTGGCAGCCACTCCTCTTCCCTCAGGAAATTTTAGATGAAAGGTCAATTTTCCAACCCTATTAATGCAGAGCTTTGGGTCAGTTGTTCTTAATGCTTGAATTAATGCCCAAGTTCTGTCATCAATGCTCACCTCGGCAATCTTTTCTTGTTGAAGAGAAAAATGCTTTTTCTCCTCTGCATTTTTGTCTTTGCTTATAGCCTTTTCAGCATTAACCGCTACTTCCTGCTCTGGCTGACTCTGCTGACTGAATCATACTTTAATATGGGAGAAAGTACACCAAGATATCCACTACCGAAGCTTGTACACCTTCGGTGGGATGAAAAGGTTAGCAGTGCTCTGTTTATAGAAACTGGAAGAACCTCAGCTGTCCCACTGGGGCTCACAAGCTCATCCACGGAATACAAAGATTCTGAGACCAGCAACTTATCCGCACCTCCCCCTTTTCAACATTTTTATCTTCAATTTCTAATATGCCTTGGAAATGTTTCCTTTTCTTTTTAGGAGACATCGTTGGCTCACATTGGATGTATGAATTAATAGGATTTGATAAAAAGTAGAATGACTTTCCAAATTTTATGGTTAAACTAGTTGTATAATAAAAAAGGCTTTGTTTGCTATATCTTCATCTTTATCTATACCGTGACTTCTCTTTTCTGAAAAACTCTTTTCTGCTGATTTAACATTATATATTTTTTTCAGAGATTTGATGGTTTAAGATTTTTTTGTTTTAATCAGCCACCGATACTTTAATATTCAAGAGCTTGGGTTAAGTTGAGCTAATCGTAAATTCATTCTATTCTGATTACCAAAAACAGACTTTGAAACAAGTTCAAAGTCCTTTTAAAACAGGACATGAATGCTCGCTTTTATAAGTCCTTTGGAAACAGAGATGCTGAGTTTTCAAATTCCAATATGTAAACCATAGTTGCTTGGAGAGTTACAGCACTACTTCAAGTATGTGCTTGACTTTTGGTCCATTTACATTATCTTGCTTGTATGAAATCCTCTTTGTAGACTGATGTAGCTTATCCTCCAATAATATTTAGGTGCGCATAAGAAATGCAGTTGCTTGCTTCTCTCTTCCCCAGAAGACTTGCATTTTGGGTATATAGGCTGCAACTGCTTCTGCAAGCAGTGGGCATTTGCCTCTTCCTGGCATTGACACAGCTAAACTTCTAACACAAACAGAAGAGCAGCAATCCAGGCACAACCCCCTCAGTTTCCTCCTACTCCCAGTGGAAGTCAGGTATGGCTTATTTACTGCTCAATGTTTCCAAGGGTGGACTCCAACAGCTAGGAAATGAAACCTTAAAAATGCAAGTGAATAGGTTTTTTCATTACTGGAGTCTGGGATAACTGTGTCATCATTTAATTTGTTGATTTTTCTTTAGTGTCTATTTCACTGATGGTACCAACATCCTATTTAGTGAATGAATCCAGCTGGAAATCTGAGATGTCCTTCATTCCTTCTTGCTCTTTATCATCTAGTTTAGATTAACAATTACATGTCCCATTTCTTTTCTAAATAGTTCTTTATTTGTCCTCTTCTGTCTTTCTTTTGACTTGTATCTGGTGCAGTTTGCATTCTTTTGCCGGGACTACCATAGTATTTTCTCAGGGTTCCCTATCTCTAGTCTGGAAATGGTTTCTCCTTAAATTCATACCCTTAAAAGTCATCAGGTTATCGGCAATGTAAATTTGATCATGACAATACACTTTTTAAACTCCTCACCTCCCAGCTTTGCTTAGCTTAAGCAATGATCAGAAATGGTGGGAAGATTTTGTCCTCATAGGTATTTTGTTTTGAGTTCAGTGTTTTTAAATAACTTGATTGTGAATATATTTAGGCCTGTGCTTGCACTCCTCAAATTTGCCACCCACATCTTCTTCCTTCCCCCTAATCATTATAATGATCTAACTGGCCCCGAAGGAATTTGGAATCAGGGCCCTTGGGGCTGTAGAGTCCCAGCCTTATAATGAGGCTTAAAGGCTCTCCTCCATCTGACCCTTACTCCTCCTGTGGGTCCCAGGTCTGTCTGTGATCCAGGCTTGCACCTAGGGATAGAACTCCGGATTTAGAATGTTACATTAATGTAGTAGGATGCCTGTGCCTAACTTATGTAAATATGATTTAGCTTATTATATCACGCATGTGTGGCAGAATGCCACTATTGTTCTCTGACATACATAAAGCCCATGCGGTCCCCTGGGCAACAGAAAAAGAGCAGAAGAAGCGCACTCTCCGCAATAAAGTTGGTGCCTGCCATTTCATTCTCATGTTGGCTTCTCTTGCATTCTTTCAACTGAGCATCTCACCATCAAAACCTTCCCTTCTTGATCAGCTCTGTGCTGACACCTTCAGCCTCAGATCTCATATTTTGATGATTCAAAAAAACAGATCGTGTTGGTTTTTGCCTTAGCAGGTCTTTGCTCATGGACTCAGTTCAGGACTCTCCTCCTCTACAGAGAGGCTAGAATAGGCACCTGTCTTTTCTACCACTGCACATACGATATCTAACATGATAACTCTCTGTTTATCTTCAGTCTCCTCCATTAGACTATGAGTTCTTTGAGGGTAGGACCTATATAATAGTAATATGAGAAACTCAAGTCTGCCAACAGTGTCTTACATATTAAAAGTTCAATTAATGCTTTTCGATACTGAATTAGAGAAAGTTGCTTGCAGAAAGTGTCCAAGGAATGTCCTTAAGGTATCTAGATGGCTGCTGAAAACAGGGAGGTAGAATTTTTCAGTTTTGTCCTCAGGAAAAATGGGCAAGTAGGGACTCGATGAACCTAAATTCATAAGTGATTCCAAAGAGAAAAAGTACCACACTCACCTGAGGCTCAAAGCGAGGTGTTTGTTTTTCTTTGGCTGTCTTTTCTTTCTCAGAAGACCTTTCTTTGCCTTTCCTTGTTTTGGCTGTTCCTGATGATTTTTGTCCCTCACTAATTGTATGGGAATCTGGGCTTCCCAAGGGAATTAATTCCTCATGTTTCTCTCCATGAGCTAGAGAGACGTAACAATGGAATCCAGTGAGTCATAATATAACAGTAAAATCATGTCATGTAGGAACAAGGAAAGCACATTAAAAAAAAAAATAGTTTAAGGTGTTTGGAATTTTTTTAACAAACAAACAAACAAATGGAACTTTTACAAAAATATATGTGACTCCCTTTTATAAAATTCATATACCATAAATAATTCACATACCATAAACTCACCATCAAAGTATATAAATCAGTGGGTTTTGGTATATTAAGGTTATGTAACCATCCCAACTAATTAATTTCTAATCTATATGATTTCCATTCATTTTCTTGCCTACTTTTCTTGACTAGTATCACTAGTATAATATTGAATTGATTAACCTCTGCTTTAATATTTATTATGCCCTTCTGCTTACTTTGAGCTTAGTTTGTTCTTCTTTTTCTAGTTATTATTTATTTATTTATTTATTTATTTATTTATTTATTTATTTTAATGGATTTATTTATTTTAATGTAGAAGTTTAAGGTATTGATTTGAGATCATTCTTCCTTTTAAGTGTAGGCATTTATAGCTGTAAGTTTCCCTTTTAGCCTTGGTCTTATAGCATTTCATAAGTTTTGGGGGTTTTTTTTCCCATTTATTTCTAAGTATTTTATAATTTCTCTAATTGTGCATTTTATTTCCTCATGTGGATATAAGTTATTATCTAGTGTTCTTTTATTTCAGCTTGAAGGACTTTTTTCAGCATTTCTCAAAAGGCAAGACTTTTAGTGACAAGTTTGCTCAGTGTTTGTTTTTCTGGAAATAAGACTTTGAAAGACATTCAGTTCCATTCTACTCTTTCTTATGGCTGCCAACCTGCACCAGGGATACAGGCTATGTTTGCAAGGCTACTGCTGAGCTGGAGACCAGGAGATGGGATGGGGGCAAGTTAAAATACCATAGAACTCACTGTTCTGAAAGAGATTTGGCTATTTTTCAATAAAATTTTTAATTTCTGGAGTTCTGAAAAAGTTGATTCTGACTATTTCTGCCTGTTTTTTTTTTTTTTTTCAGTTTTTA